GGCCCTGGGCAGAGTATTATGGTGTCCTTTCTCATGTCTTTTGTAGGCCATCTTAAAATAAGGTGGCGAATTTTCTAGACAGGGTACTGTATAGTGTGGACACAGGGAAAACAGTAAAAGGAAAAGAAAAGATGGAAAAATCTCCACCCTTTAGTATGGGTCGCCATATTTTGTTTTATTAGCATATTTTTTTTGACAGTTATGGTCACTTTCTTTCAGTGCTAATCCTGATAAAATCATTAAGATGTTTTGTAGGAAACCAGACTGTATGACCTTACTTTGGAAACACTTCCTGTAGATTTTTCTTTTGACACCTTGACATTGGTATTATAAAATTAAGCCCCAAATGACATTTGCTTCAATAGTTCTTATATAAATAGTGTTTTTATCTTTTATGGATAGTGTAAATTTGAAATTTTGGCCTGTAAAACAAATCACATTTTATGACTTGCCTGAATAAAGTGGATTTCCTAATCTGAAAACCCAATATCTGAAATATTTGAGAATTGTAAAATTTTTGAACACCAACGTGAAGCAGATAGAAAACAGAACTACATGTAAGCTTCTGTGATAGGTTGTGTCAAAGCACGTATTGAGTGAAATACTGTATAAAAGTTACCAGGAGGCCGAAGCAGGTGGATTGGTGTGAGTTTGAGGCCAGCCTGAACTCAAAGTGAGACCCTGTCTCAAAAAGACAGAAGAAAAAAGAAAAAAACCCTTCAAGTTATATGTATATGGTGTATTTGAAATATAAATGAATTTTGTGTTTAGATTTTGCTCCACTATATCTGCCATATGTATACATATATTCCCCTAAAGCCTTAGGCTCTGAAACATTTCTGGTGTCGTGCATTTCTCCAGTGATGGGGAGCACTTTGCACATGGTATTTCAAAATGTGGCACCTGCCTGTTCTTGGTAGACAGATGCTTTCAGTCGTAGTTGACCATTTATCTCATTGTTCACGTGGTAATTCACCTTTCAGTGGTAGTGACCCGAGCTAGGCTTCCAGGAGCAGGCTGGAGCGCAGCAGAAGGATTACTGTGTGCGATTACCCATTTTCACTGGACTGACCAGCAAAAGGCAGTGGGGTTGGTACAAAGAGAACGTTTGGCAGGGCTGAGTTGAACGCATTACACATTTTAGGTGATTTGCCAAGTTATCTAATCCTGTGTGTCATACTTTATGTATGAATAACACTATATTGTAGGAAACAACAGGATAGAGCATTGTTTATTTTGTAAATATAGGCCTACATTTCTTGATATCACTGTACTTTATAAAATATAGTACTAAGTATTAAGCCTAGCCACTTACCACGCTGGACAAGTGCTTTACTGTGAACCTTCCTCCACAGGTGTTTTTTGATGTTATTCGGCGACAGTCTCCCTAAATTGGTCAGGCTGGCCTCGGACTTGTGATACTCTGTCTCAGCCTCTGGAGGATATAGCATTACATGCTGGCCCCATCACACCTGGCTGATGGTATACTTCGAAAAAAGATCTAGAAATTGGGAGCATTTAAACTTTGTAAAAGCCTTTATTTGTTCTTTCTGCCCTTATTTTCATAATCTCCAAACAGTTATATGGTATATTGATACAAATATGGGGCATTTCCAACACTAGTGGCAGAAAATATGTTCTAAGTTGTATTACACTGGTGACCTATAATTATTCACTCAGCAGAATGACGGTTTAAACACGAAGACTTCCCTGTAAAGGAAGACAAGGTTGAGATGATTTTAAAATTAGCTTCATAGTTCTAATTGACAAGTACCCTTTATGGGTGTCAGACTAAAAACCTTAAGGGATTTTGTCATATTTGACTAGTTTAGAGTTTCCAATAACTGTAAGAAAAACAAGTAGGCAGTATTTTTGAAACTGAATCATTATGAACAATTACTGAATATGTAGGATAACTTGACTCTTTTTAAAGTGCTAAGGCCCTAACAACTTAGCAGTCTTTTTCCATTTATAATCATCTAAATCTGATATTTTGTGATGCAATAAGGACTGTCACATTTACTTCTTTAATGTAAAAAAAAATTCTCTGGAAAGCGCAAATAAAATACTAAATTTTTTCTGTGTATACAGTGATGGAGACACAGAAATTTTAGTACCCTTGCAGTGCATTTGCTTTGTATTTCGAAGTTAGCTCCAGTTGCCACTTCTTGTAGTTAAGAATCAAGCAAATAAATATATTTATAATTGAGACCTTGATCCCAAGCATTCATCCTCCATTTTCTATTTTACCCTCATTTAAAAGCGTGAAAGTAAGGCTTGTTAGTAACACAGAAATGCTTGGGACCAGAAGTGTGTCACATTTTCGGCTTTGAAATACTTGCAGTGGTTTTCCTGGTTGAGCATCCCTAGTCCAGAAAACCTAAAATCTGAAATGCTTCATCTGGTATTTTAAATTTTAAACATCTCCTATTGAACAGCACTTCAGAATTTTTTTAGATTAGGGATACTCGGCATGTATGTTGACCCTGTAAGTATTCTGAGTTGCTTATCTAAAAAGTACGAATAGAAATGTTTTCTTAAAATTGTTTATATTGTCTCCTTTATGGACCGGT